CCTGCGCAAGGTCGTGGATGCTGACTGTTCCGCTCCTGTGACGCCAGTACTCTTCGAGTAATTCCAACTCACGTTGGCACTGCTTCCTCCAAGCGGGCCCAATCGAGCTCCAAAGGAGGGTACTACGTACAAACTGCTTCAATGTTGGATCATCATTCATAACGTCAGTCTGTAAAGCGGCAATAAAAGTCGGGTAGGGAAGTGCATTCATGGTCAACGTGTCCCTGTCCTCCTGTCCTCCTGATGCGCGGTGAATAGCGTCAACGCAACTTAGTAATCGGGAAACAGTCACAGAAGTTGAAGGGAGCGTCCGAGGGGGCTGCTTTCTCCCATCCAGGGGTTGTAATCTTTCCTCTCCCGAGCTCCATGGTGAGCATAGTTGCCTGTCGCGGACGGCCAGAATCCCCGCTAATCGATATGCTTCCCACAGCTGACATTGGAGAAAGCTTCCCTGGGCACCAGGCCAGTCCTGGAAGTCCTTCTCTGTCGCACCACCCTCGCCAATGCAGGAGAAGATGTCGATCAAGGATTTTGGCAAGCCGCTAACGACCTCAACTTCATCCCGTCCAGATAATCCTTCCGAGGAGACCCGGTTACGACAATGCCGTCTCCAGAAACCTAGCTGCGGGTGCTGGCGTCCGATGGAAAAAGTAGGAAGGTCCATGATCCCCATGACCTCGAAAAGATGCGCACGGAACGGGGTCTTTTCATTCCGCGGATTGTCAACGTCGTCCAACTGGAGGATGCCGTGCATCCCTCGTAGATGCATTGACCACGGAATTCCGTGCATTGTCTACCTTCATGAGCGACGTATATCAAGGGGAGTAAAGGATCTGTAAACTTACTCCAATGGTACATAAGAGTAAACCAGCAGTCATGGTGCCGTCTTCCAGATATGTTTCGCTTCTGGCGAGCTCATTGCGAAATTTATTCAACCCGGCGTCAAGGTACTCGAAAAAACGGGCGTCCAGATCCGCGGTCAATGAGGCTTGTAGTGTGATACAAATGAGGTATAGAGCTTCTGATTGCTGGCACAGCCTTGGAAGATGTGTTCTAAAGAGGTTACTCTCATCATGAACTGTCGTCGCGTGCAAAATGTTGATTCCCGATGAAAGAACTTTTTTCTACTATCAGTGGCTCGTAGCAGAAGGAATCGAAGAGTTCATTAAGGTCGCCCTCACATTCTTGAAATAGTTGCTCGTCATCAGATCTCTTACCCGGCATCCGAGACGAAGGTAGCTCCTTACAGGACTCAGAATCTATCATGAGGGTTAAAGATACGCATGCTGAGAAGGGAAGGAAAACCAATTACCTTTTGCACTTTCATCCGTAAGGAAGGGAGAAGCTTCTTTGGGGCAGCTCGCTAGTATCGTACATTGTCGTCGTCTTTCTCGACTTCGATCTCGCCGTCGGCCTTTGGCTCGAGCTGGTACGGAGGATTCTACTGGCGTATCTGCGCCGGCGAAACGGCCTCGCGATGCAATGCCCGTTCCCCAGCGCAGCCGTACCTCATAGCCCTCGCATACGAGCCCTTGCTCGGTGCAAGCATGACATGTAGGGCGGGCCCGATCACATTTGCGACGTCTAGATTTGCAGGTCCAACTGCAGGGCCAACAAGATGAGTTTGCATTGACGCGACCTAGGGAATGTAATTTTTCTCACCATCCGTGATGAGTTCGGCGATTTGGCGTCGACATGCCTATTATGGGTCGTGACTCGTGAGTGTGAAGGATGCATAGGTGCTTGAAGCGCCGGTTCCCCACAGTAGCTTAAAAAGCCGTTGATCGAGATGCGGGGAGGATAAACCCCAAGGGTCGACCTGCCCTTTTGAGAATAGGTTCAAACAGACCCACGGCTCAGGTCTATAGAACTATCTTCACAAAGGATCAGGATCCGATAAGAGCATTGCTCATTCGGGCGATTAGTTTCATTCGATCTTACTCTCCATCCATCTGGTATCCATACCATATTGCAAAGACCTTGCGGGGTCTTTGAACGCTTTGAAAACGACCATGTATGAAGGGTCCAGATGGTCTTGCAAGTATGATTTAAGCGAACAAGCTCACAAAAATGTCATTCCAGACTCCCCTGTTCAAATTGCACGTGTTATGCCCTCTCTTGGGAAACTGGGGGAATTCCAATATGCGAATGGTGTTCAGCAGGAGCGGGGTATTACGTACGCCAGTCTGCCCAAGCGATGGACTAGATCCACTCTGAAACCTCTTGGGAGGCGATAATCATACTGGGAGGCAGTTAGGGTTGATAGACTTTCTTGTATTGTGATGCTGTTGCCAGCACAGCAGAAGTGAAGAAGAGGATGAGGGAGTCCGATTGTACGCACAAATGCGGCGATTGCTCACCATGGGAGATGTGAAGGCCTGGAAACGATGGCTTACTGGGTGGATGCATTGGGCAAATAAGAGAATGAACATAGGCAAAGGAGTGCAAGTCGCCCCCCTAAACAGACAGACTATCTTAGAGCACATGGCTGACAGTCAATACCTTTTCAACTCTCTCTTCGGAAGACTCCCATATCTTTCCACTACCTGGTTAACTGCAAATAAGATGATATACCATCGGTATCACGAGGTAGAACAGATTTCTTGATCCTCTTCTCAGTCACCAGCATTTGCTCTGGAAACCAGGAGAGGTCTGCAGATTCTGTCTCTAGCAGTTCATCGTCATAAGCCAGTAACATCGTTCCCACAGCTTTTCCGCATAGCCATGCGTACACCATTCCCTCCCCTGAAAATCCGGCAGAGACCCATTCAGCTCCTTGGCCTTTCTCTTTCTGTTCCCTTTCAGTCAGAGACACGGGAAGTTGCCCTACCCACGGTAAGCCGTCTGCGCTGAAACCCATATTCCCTGTCCACATCTTCTCCACACTGGGACCTGGGACGCTGCCCCAGTTCTCGCGGCCAAAAATAGCGCTCAACGCCCCAGAGAGATGAATATCAGCGTATAGGCTCAGCTCCGAGTCGGTGGAGATACCAAGGTCGGAAATACCACCAAGCTCGCCTTGAGCAAACCCGCCTCCGAACATCATCATCTCGCCTGCCTCGGACGGTGGTAACTGGGTTAGATAGTCGAATCCCCGGTCGTAGTTGAAAATCCAAGAATGCTCGGTTCCCTGATTGCGGAACTTGCTTCCGGGTGTCTGCGCGGACATTTGCCCTCGGACTGAGTAAATACGGCCTCTCAATCCGGGAACAAGATGGCCGACATGAGCGTTGGTACAGTGAACGACATGACGAGCGCGGATAGTGCCTCTGGTCGTTTCAATCGAATATCGCAACGGAGTCATCTCTCCAGGGGTAATATCGCGGATAGCTGTCACCGGTGTTTTGGCTTTAATTAGCAGATCCTGGGGGAATTCGCTGCGCAAGTGAGCCAAAACGCCGGTGATAAATCGGTAAGGCCAGATAGCACCAGCCGGACCAGCGACGATACCTCGAGCATGAGGGAGGCAAAATTCCTGCACATTTCAGCAAAAGCAAATTCAGACGAGCCTGCCGAGTGAAAGAAAATCTGCAACTCACCTTTGGAATCTCATTTCTCTCATATGCTGTCCACTCGATGGTCTCATGAGGTAAACACTCTTTCAGACGTTGCAGGCGAGATAAAGCGCCCTTCCAGCCTCTCTCATCAAAATAAACACATAGAAACTGAACTTTTCTCGCTTGAGTCTCCTCCGTCAGTCCATACTCATCAGCGGTCTTTAAGATCTCCTGCAGATGAGCCATTCGAAACCTCACGACTTTCTTAGCCGCTTCAAGGCCGAGCGATGCTTCGAGCTCTGCAAACTCTTCCGCTGTCTCGAGGATGTGACCGCCATTGCGGCCAGTGGCACCACTACAGACATCGCGCGCTTCCAAGATAACAACAGCTGGTCGGGCTTTGGTGTCCTTCCCAGGCTTGCGGGACTTCAGCAGAGTCCTTGCAATTGAGGTTCCAGTCACTCCAGAACCGATGATGACTACTTCTGCCTCAGATGGCAGCTCCGTAGGCTGCGCCTGGGCAATTTCGGGATGTGGAGTTCTGAGCCAGAAAGAAGAAGTCGGATGAGCTGTAGGTAGACCTGGGTCGGAAAAAGCACGGTCGAGCGCCTGTTGCCGATCTTCAATCGGAATAGCAGGGTTGGAGAGTATTGCTTGAGCGAACGCCATGATGAGAGCTGAAATTGGGTCAGTGCTAGGGCGGAACTAGGTTGCAGCGGGAACATGCAGTTTATCAGGCTGTCAACTTTGTCAAGTTGAAATAGCTGCGATTCAAGTATGCAACTAGCGGGGTCAATCCTATCAGGCCATTTGATGCCACTGCATGAGCCAATATCGGCGACTCGGACGTTTCAGCTAATCAGAACGGACAAGTCTTGAGTCTTTGTATGCCTGTGTGATAGAGCCGAGCATCCTGGCTGATATGCTTAATTATCAAGGGTCGACCTGCCTTCTAGGGCAGTAAGCTCTTGACCCCACATCGTGTGGAGTATGGACCAGCATTGTCGGCAATCATCTCGGATCGGATATCGTCTGCCACAACTAGTCAGTCACGTCGAGTTTCTCTTCCTACAACGTCTCTTGCATGTGGTGACCTTACGGAGATTTAAGATGTGATATTGCAACTCGCTCCAAGCTGCTGATTGAAAGCTTGCTCTATGACGAGCCAGAACTGTAATCTGGACATCGCCCCAGAGCCAATGCCCCGTCGTTTACTAGACCTCATTCTATCTCATCATGGGCGCCCAAACTGCTAATTCTCCGCGTAATGCCTACTACCTAATCGGCGACAAATGCGACAACCAGGCCTGGCATTCCTCTATTGCCTTGAATACATTGTCAAAATAGAGATTCCCAAATTGCCACGCCCCGTTTCCAGTATAAAAAGTGTCTCTGGGTCGCCCGCATTATAGATCAAGATGTCCGACAGTAGTATCGTTATCGTTCTATGTACATATATATCCACATCTCAGTCATATATCCTCAAGCTGGCTCCCGTCTGCCTCACTTCAACTCAATCCCATTCTTCTGCCAAACCTGTGCATCAAACCCCTCCATCAACTCCCTATATTCCTCACCAGCACCCACCCACCCCTTGATTCCACCCTGTAGCACCAAGCTCTCGATCGAGTTGTCTTTACGGTCCTCAAGGTAATCCGCAAACCAATTCGCAGCTCGAGTCCCCCTCCCCGCCGAAGAGCCTATATCAGCATGAGCAATCAAGCAATCCCCGAGAATCAAGCACAGCCCTGCGGGATCCTGCAAAGGCCAACCACATACCACAATACCAAATAATGTACTTGACCCCTCCGGCACGGAGAAGATTATACACCGTCGGCAGAGAATAATACAAGCTCTGAGCGGGCAGGTTCAGCGAGCCCTTGATCGTTCCTCCCTGAGTTACAGATCAGCACAATTACAATTACAAGCACAATTTCGGTAACAGAGACGGCAGGCAACTCACTTCGTGGTCATTCCGGCGAAGATCAACAAGTACGTAGTCCTTCCCTGGCTGCTTGCCCTCCCGCATCCACTGGAGCATATCTTCTCGGGAGATGCTGCGGGCGGTATTGCGGGGTGCTGGGAAGGCGGCGTGCCAGGGTTGTTCGGCGGGTGGTTGAGCGGACATGATGTATGCTTTATCCTGTCGGATGGTGTTTTGGATCAGTGGTGATTTACTCGACTGGAAAGGAGAGGAGAGGATGACCAAGTATGGAACAGCTCAGGGCAGCCTGCGTGATTGAAAAGACATTGGCTTCCTAGAGTATGAGGGGCACCAGCCAATCAGCGTGCGCGAGCTACATTCCTCTACTCTCCTACTTTTAAGATAGGAGGATTCTACGAAATGGAAATCGTGATATGTAGGAAGACATGCGAATATGACTAGATGATCATGGTATTATTAGATAAGAGCTACGAGACTGTCCCGACTGATAAATTACGATTCAATATCCGTGGTGCATAACGGATAAAACCGTACTCAAAGATCGTCGAGGGCAAAAAACCTCATTCTCGTCTCATACAGACCTGCACATGAGAGTGCAGGCTGCATCCAGCTCAAGATCAACCGAGAGAAGCAGAAGACCGAGCGAGGCAAGAGACATCCGCTTACAGATCGCATGACTGCTTGGAAACCGGAAGGTTGATATAAAATCTGTACATATGCTTATCTAGCATGATCGTCATTGGGTATCTATAGACCCTCGCACACAGACGCCGGAATTGCCATCAGAATTACTTAGTACGCCACCCTCGTTCGCATATCCTATGTATATCGTTAGCGACATCATCCCAGACACAACGTCGGAAGTGGGTTGACTTACCGAGATCTTCCGCTCAATCTCTCTGACGGAACGATCCAGTTCCGCTGCAATCATCATCTTCGTGTCATTAGGCAGTAAGAAATACATTTCGCACAAATCTCCATCAATCACACCCTTGACTGGGGCATAATAGCTGCGATAGATGAGATGATCCCGTCCGGCAAGGGGTGGGCACTGTGCGGCTAGTTGCATCTCTAGGTTCTGGAAAAAGTCCACATCCTCGCGGCTCACAAAAGGCACAAGCATGCCAATTGTACCCTGAAACCCGGTCCACACAAGGATGTCCCGTCCACCTGCCACTAGTTGTGTTTTGTGCAAGCTGGTCGGGATATCCTGTGTGTAGGTGTGGATCATCAGATCCAGGCGATGTGGTGTGCCATGCAGATAACCGCGCTCATGAATCAGGTGGGCTCCCGATCCATCCTCATCTGCCTCTTCCGAGACCTTCTTAGGACAGCGCACGAGCCAGAGGTTACCAAATTTGTCACCACCGGCAACAGTCTCGTAGTCTACCATGGTGGTGCTCGTCGTCCAGCGAGAGACGGAATCATCAACGAAAGGAATCAAGACGTTCTCCTGGTACTTGTATACGACATACGTCACGCTTTCGCGGACGTCGCTGACAATAATTCGGCTACCTTGTGTCTGAAGGCCAACAATAGTCTTTGACACCACGGGAGCCTGACATTTTCGGAGCAGCTGTTTCATTCCCAGGTCGTAGACCCGAAGGGTAGAGCCGATGCCGGCAAGAAGACGCCCCTGGAACGCGAGGAGAGCAAGAGGTGGCTCTTCAACCTTGGTCTTGTGAATGAACTCCAGCTCCTTCCCATCTTCTTGGAATCTGTAAATGTGGATGAAGCCTCCCGCTGATGAGGGAGGGTTGACAATCATATCCTTGGCCGTTCCCACCACGAGGAAAGTTTCATCGTCCTGGCTAGAAAAGGGTACGGCTGCCATGCTGACAGCGGCCTCGTTCTCCTCGAGTTCGATCGTTGAAATCACCGCTTTGGCATCCAGGGGATCGACGATTTGAATGCAAGACGCCCAGTGACCCGTCGCCCGTGGATAGCCAAATTCTTCGGGCGGAAGAACATTCGTCTCGCCATTACGCTCCGTGGAATCTTCAATCAACCTGGCTCTGGTAGCCGGCGATAGAACATTGTTGTCCGACTCAATAACATAGAACAATGGCTGTTCTGGATGCTTAAGCATTCGACGGGGCGTGTTTGAAAGAGAAATTGACTCCTGCAGCATGTTGTTGTCCAACTTCTCGATAGAGAAAATCCTGTCGTCGGCGTGAACGAGTTAGTCAAATGCATCCAGTACGACATTATTTGACATTGGAATTGTGTATGTTGCAGTGATCTCAGTAGGAACAATTGGAGATATAAACTTTAAAGAGATGATCCACATGAACTTTTCGGATTAAAGTTCTCATCATACGATCACGAAGGACAAGTGAGCAACAGAGTAGAGGGGGATGAACATACCGAAGATTCTGTGCCTGGATACCAACCATGCCTTCAACACACTGCTCACTGGAGAAATCCCAGCCCCATTCCAAGCCCACGTAATCTAACGGGGTGAGCATGAAACCTTTCGTCTGGGTGTCGGAGTAGCCCAGCCATGGTCGGGAGCTGAGCGCGAGAACCGCCGTCTGCCCTTTGACAGAAACACGAAATAGCTTGACTGGCTTGGCTCCCAGGAAACGGGTACGAGTATCCGAAAGTTCGCCAGTCACCTCGTCGAGAACAGTCCGGAGGTAGACACCGGAGTAAAGGCCAATGTGCAAATAGAGTGTCGTACCTCCCGAGCTTGAATCGGCCATTGACATGATGTTCAACGCTGATGGGGCCGATGTAAGAGCCTGGACTGACTTATTCTCCAAGGTCGAGTCTGGATCCAAGCTCAGAATGCGTACAGTAGAGTCGTCACATCCGACGGCCAAAAAAGAACTTCTCACACGGCCTTCAGGCACCTCGCCTAAACTAAGGCATGTGACTGTACCCGACATCTGGCGTCTCTCATCGTATTCAGCGAGTGTTCCATCGACATCCATCTCGAAGTACACGATTTCACCCGAACTGAGGGCAACGGCCACCTGACGCTCATTTGTCGCAGCCGCGACAATCGAACGATGTTGAGGAGCGGGCCACTCATTGACACGCCGATCCGCAAGGATATGGCGGATGCCCCTCGGGTGAACCTGAATCAGCGAATCCTCACCGAGCTGCTGAACCGCCAAAGTAGGAGCGGTTGAAAGAAAGCCGGTATCGGTAACTTCTTCGACTGTCTCGCCGATGCTGAGAACCAAAGTACCGTTCGCGAAAGAGAGAATAATGTAAGCATCAAACTCATCAGCACGAGTCAACTTGGTAGTCCAAACAGCGGAAGGTACACTGGGGAGCTCCGATTCCACGATCTCAGAGACTTCCAGACCATGCTTGAGGGTCCTGAAGCTGCTCCGGGCGCCAGCACCGGACACAGTGTAAATTTGAGGAGCGTCGTCTTCGTTAAGATTCACAATCTTACTATCGATCAAAGGGTTGAGAGAGTTGAGTGTCTCAACGAGGTTGAGGTTCTCCGCTCCTCTCGGTCGGAAGAACACCGGCTCATAGGGAAGAGAGGGATCCGCAGGAAAGTTTTCACTGCTGAATTCAGTCTCTTCGTCGTCGTCTCCCAGCTTCTCGAATTGGTAGAAGTGATGGTTTCCTGCTTCACTGGCAACGTAGAGGAAGCCACTTTTCAGGATCAACAGATTGGATGCGACAGGGACTGTATCGAAGTATTTGATCTTCAATCTTTTAACCTCGCCAGTCAGTTGCCCGTTGTCATCCTCCACCATATCGAGGGTAAGCTTGAACAGGTCGCCATCTTCACTCTGGAGAAGGAAGAAGAAAGCACCCCTCATCCTGTGCATGACGCCCGCGACGATAGAGCGCTTGCGCTCGGGATTTTCCGTTGCACCAATGCGTCGAGGGATCGGCACTCTGAATGCATCTTGGTTTGAGTGCCGGTAGGTAATGTTATCCTCTGCACATACCAAGACACCACTGGGACCATCGGCTCCTCCCGGCACCTGGAACAGCATAGCTGCGGTGCGGTCAACAGGATCTGCCCACTTGCGAACAACATGATTCAGACCGAGGTCAAGTTCATAATACACAAGCAGTTTTTCGGACTCTTCGTACGCTCGACCAGTTGGATCCTGATCCGACTCGGAATATTCGACCTCGAGGGCCGCGAAGATAGGATTCTCGTAGCCGACGTCCAGAGCCGTCATCGCAAAGACCAGGGTCTGCGGCTTGTGGGCCTCCAGAGGGGACGAAATCGTCAGCTCGGCCTGCGAGTTCCGATTCAGAACATAAACGAGCTTATTCTTCTCCACAGAGGCAATCAAACAAGCTCTACCTTTTGGATCGACCGCAAGGTATTGACCAGGCACGACACGACGAACGCCGGACTTGCCGAAGGTCTCAAGATGGATACGGTTGAACCGATTCTGGGAGGGAACGTATTCAATGATTGTGATACGTCCCGAGTCCGAACCGATGATTATAAAATCTATATGCAATATTCTTTCAGCACAGTTCAGAAACAGCATGCAGTGTCAGCAACACCGACCGGAGCACGTCCCGCTTCCAATAAGGTCGGCTCGGCAGATAAGGATCGTGCTGCCCGGGAAGCTTGACGAATCACTAAGTTGGTCTTGCGATTGGGGCGAGGAGGGAGAACGTCAAACATACCTTTACTGCTTCCGGCCAGCCGAAAGGCTGCCAGAGAACGGATGATACCGAAGACATCCTGGGAAAAGATTGGTGTAATCTTGCCCTGAGTCGGATCGGGACGATGAATCGTGAGCTTCGACCCTGACGCGGTCACGATCTGCTGCTCCTTGGTCCCTGCAAACTGGCCCAGAATAGCCTGTGTGATCGCAGTCGGAGGCTGGATCGTCAGGGAATACATGAACATGTTCGAAGTGGTAGCCATAATGAACGACTTTGGCTTTTCCAAGCCCGAACCGAGGGTTGAGTTTTGCTAGTGTTTTACGACGCAACTGCAGTCAATTTGACTTCAGAATAGAATCAATCCCATTGCTGCAGCTTGAGAAAATGAAAAAGAGGACTCTCAATTACCGAGTGTCCTCAGAGAAGGGATTGCAGCGGGGTTGGAAGTACTTGCACAAGAGGAGCGAGTATTGCCCAACTGCGTCCTGAGAAGCCAGAAGTGAAAATTCAGCTCCGAAGGGAGAAAGAAGCTCCAGTCACGTGGGTTTATGCCGTTTGTTCCCTGATGCACGTGACATTATTGCCAAAGATTCACGCTGCATGAGCTCAGTACATCAATTCACCTGCTAAAGAAAGGCGGTCGATGGGATTCTGCCTGCTTCCACCTTACCAACCACTTACAGCCTAGAGGGGCCTCTCCCCATATCCAGCTTACAGAAAGGCAGCCGGCTCATCTGTCCCTCAATTTCATCATTTTACCTGTTGTCTCATACTCTCAGTCACACTTTTTGAATTCTACAACTATCCTTTTTCCTTGACTGTACTGTGATCCCTCTCTGCAGCACATCAGCCTCTCATACTCCCTCCCGCACCTGAATTACGTATCATGGCCGACGATACCGCCACGACTGAAGATTCGCCCATCACCTTTACAATCAAATCCTCCAATGACGCCAAATATACCCTCACTCTTCCTCTTTCTACTCAAGTCTCGGAGTTGAAACAGAAGCTTTCATCTTCCGAATATGCCGATACTCCCGCTGAGCGTCAGCGTCTGATCTACTCGGGAAGAGTGCTCAAAGATAATGAGACTTTAGCTACTTACAAGATCAAAGATGGCCACACTGTCCATTTGGTAAAGAGCGCTGCTAGCAATCAGAGACAGGGTGGGGCTACGCAGAGTGCGGCTGCATCTGCACCTGGTGGGACCTCGGCTGCTCCTGCAGCTGGAGCTGTGCCCACCAATCTCGCTGCCGGTACTGGTAACAACCCGCTCGCAGGCTTGACAGGTGCAAGATATGCTGGATTTGCGCAGCTTCCGGGCGCTGGCATGTTCGGTCCAGATGGCGGCGTAAGTGTTCCACTGTCGATTGAGAAGTTTTGCTTGCTTCCCGAGTTCAACGGCTGACAGATGCGTCTAGATGGGACCTCCTCCCGACGCCGAAAGCATGCTCAACATGCTTGAAAACCCTCAGTTTCAATCCACCATCAATGAAGCCCTGCAAAACCCAGCCATGATCGACATGATGATTCAACAAAATCCCATGTTGCGTGATATGGGTCCTGGAGTGCGACAAATGATGCAGAGCCCTGAATTTCGCCGCATGCTCACCGATCCCAATTCTATCCGCCATATGTTACAGATGCAGAGGGCGTTTGGTGGCGGTGGATTGGGCGGAGGTAGTGCGTTCCCAGCCCCCGGGGTGACCAACACGACGCCCGAGGAGAACAGAGACAACCAGAACAACAATAATGCGAATGCGGGTACAGCGGGTGCGCCTCCTTTCAACCCTTTCGCTCCTGCCCTAGGAGCCGGCAATCCCTTCGCGGCTCTTTTCGGTGGAAACCCACCAAATTTCGGCGCGAACCCGTCAAGTTCCTCGACCGCTGCCGGTGGCGATCAATCCCAAGGCACGCAAGGAGCAACTGGCAGCGCCTCTGCTGGCAGTACAGCTACCGGTGAGGGCCAGAACCAGCAGAATCTTCAGAACCCATTCAGTTTCTTGATGAACCCTGCCATGTTCGGAGCTACAGGTTCTCAGGCTGGACAGGGACAGGCCGGCTTAAATCCTTTCAATCCGCAGCAGAACCCCTTCCTTCGAGATCCCGCGCTGCTGTCGCAGATGATGCAGGCCATGGGTGCCCAAGGAGGTGCGACCGGTGCTAATCCTTTGGCGGCTCTGCTTGGAGGCGCCGGCCTTGGAAGCCCTCCGCCGCAGGACAATCGGCCGCCTGAGGAAAGGTACGCTGATCAGCTTCGACAACTCAACGATATGGGCTTCTTTGAGTTCGAAAGGAATGTTGAAGCTTTGCGACGCTCAGGTGGCAGCGTTCAGGGTGCTGTAGAGTATCTTCTGAGTCATCCTTCGTAATCTCTGGGACTATTGACGGTGCGCAATTCTCTTCTCTTTTTCCTTCGTCCGGTCGGTTCTTGGAGCATCGGCTGGACGTCTTTCATTTGCCAGCACAATGCGATCTTGTTGGCGGCTTCATCTTCTGTCTTATTCTCAACAAAGTATCCTACGATTACCCCTCTGCATATCAGTTTCCCCGAATGTGAAATAGCCTGATAGGCGACCGTTTGAGCTTATTGTAACTTTTCAACTTCAGTCTCCAGATAAGACGGTAGACACGATAGATTTCCTGATTTGTTTGTGTATGGTCATAATCTCTCATGCAGTTGTTGAAGATGCATATTGAAGCAAGCTTGGTCAAGACCCCATATCGCGATGAATTTCAGACATGACGATGTGTACGTTGTGCATGGTTTATTCATAGTTGATGGGTATCCACTTGAAGAATGGAAGCTAAGCCTATTCTGGATGCCCTCCTCTACTCCCATGTTCTGGCCTTTATCTGTAGTTCTCTTTGTTATTGTTACTTTCTCTCCAACAATCGAGTCATCCCTTCCCCGTCCTCATGCTTGATCTTTCTTTCACAAGGCGTTATCTGCCGTTCCTTTCGTTATTATAAGCTGGGCTTTGAAATCGCGCAATTCCCGTCGCTACTCGGTGGCATTCCGACGACTCGGTGCCACATCTCTCACATTGACAATCACCTCCTTCTTCCCATCATCCGTATTTCCGTTTTCCTTTGCGAGGCTTTGCGATACTCCCCTCAGAGGCTGCACGCATTGATACAGAAGATATACTGTTTAATCTATCTCGGACAAAGCTTGTTGCTGGATTCGGAGTGCGTCAAGGGCAGCCGGCTAGCCCACCTGTAACTTGTCAACCATCGGACTTGTCCCGCACGACCGATATCATCCAACCGATTACTTGTGCGTGTTTGTGTGATATCTAGCTGTGATCTTCGCCTTGAGAGAGTCGTTTTGCCGCTGCGTAGATGATGAAATTTCGATCGGTGTTATGTCCTCGCCAATGGACAATATGGCTGTTATTCGTCTCCCACGCTTGCGCGTTCTACATACCAGGTAGGCTCGCCGTTGACGGAAATTTCTTTGTACACGAGCTTATGTCCCATCTTACTCTGTAGGTTACTCCGTCACGCGCTATAACGACGACGAACCCATTCCGCTCCTCGTCAACAAGATCTTCTCCGACCACACGCAGCTACAGTATGCCTACTTTGATCTTCCGTTCGTGTGTCCGCCAAGTGGGAAGAGCCACGGTGGCTCGCCATTCGGCTCAGGAAAGAGTGTCTCGCTCAACCTGGGAGAGATCCTCCGCGGCGATCGCATCATGACCTCGGATTTCGAGCTTCATATGGGCAGGAATGTGGAATGCCAGAAACTCTGTACGGTGGAGGTGGGCCGGAAGGACGTAAAATGGGGCCGACAACTGATCAGTGAAGGATATGTGGCTGAATGGATTGCGGACAATTTGCCTGGAGCAACGAGTTTTGTTACGGTTGACCGTAGCCGCAAATACTATGCCACCGGATTCAAGATTGGGGACCTGGACTTTTCACCCGGCACCGGCAAGCCACGTTATTTCATCAACAATCATTTCAATATAGTCATTCGCTGGCGGAGTGCTCCGGAAGGAGGAAAGGTGGTGGTTGGTTTTGAGATCTATCCGAAGAGCATTACGGCCGGCGATTATGAGGAAGACGGATGTCCTAAAGAAGTGCATGGCAAACACGAGGGTCTGGAACTATACATCCCTCCTAATCTGTCGAGGCTGAAGCAGATGTATCCTGAATCCTCGTACCTTCCCAGGGAGGATGATGAGATAGACGATGGTTCCACGCTGAAGATCCCATACAGTTATTCAGTCTACTTTAAAGAAGAGCCTGATATCGAGTGGTCGAATCGCTGGGACCTTTACTTCAACATTCAAGGCGAAAGTTCGATGACGCATTGGCTGGCGGTTCTGAACTCTTTGATCATATCGGGTGTGCTCGGTGTGGCGGTCTATGTGATCTGGGGTCGGACGGCGCAAGGAGATATCAAGGGACGGGGAGACGGCGCTATGGAGGACGGTAAGATTAAATTTCGCTCCAAGTCGGCTGAGAAGAAAGGAGAAGGGCTCCTGGATCAACGCATGGATGTTGAGCGGGATGCCGACGGATCGTCTGATGAGGAAGCTCTGGAAGATGTGAGCGGGTGGAAGCTCCTCCATGGAGACGTTTTCCGGGTGCCCGAGTATAGCGGTCTGCTAGCGCCATTGGTGGGCTCAGGCATGCAGCTCTTCTTCATGTTTTCTGGGCTGTTGATCCTCAGTTGCTTGGGTGTGTTAAATCCCAGTTTCCGAGGTGGATTTGTCAGTGTGGGCATGGGGTTGTTCGTATTTGCCGGCCTTTTCTCCGGATATTTCTCTGGGAGATTGTACAAGACTTTTGGAGGTGTCCATTGGCGAAAGAATACCCTCATCGTAAGTTGACCTGCCGTTTCCTTCTGACTCCGACTGACAGTCCCCCTAGACAGCTCTTTTCTTCCCCGGATTGATCTTTTGCCTCATCTTCATCCTGAATCTGTTTGTCTGGGCACAAGCATCGAGTACGGCCATTCCTTTCGGCACATTGGTCGGTCTGCTTGCGTTATGGCTTCTCATTCAAGTTCCTCTGGTATACCTTGGCAGCTGGTACGGCTTCGTGCGAGCGAAACCGTGGGAACACCCGACCAAGACGAACTCGATCGCGCGCCAGATTCCGCCTCAACCGTGGTACTTGCATAGCATTCAGGGAGCTGCCCTCACCGGGTTACCTCCATTTGCTGTTCTGTTCATTGAACTACTCTTTGTGTTCAAGAATTTGTGGCAGGACAAGAGTGGCTATTACTATGTTTTCGGCTTCCTGAGCGCTGTATCGACGATTGTCATTATCACAGTGAGCGAAGTGACCATTATCGCAACGCACAGCCAGCTCTGTGCTGAGGTAGGCGACTCCGCCTTTATTTTGTGTATCATGAAGGCTAACCGCAGTAGAATTATCACTGGTGGTGGCAGAGCTTCCTCACTGGTGGAAGCAGCGCCTTCTGGGTGTTTGCTTACTGCATTTGGTACTACTTCTTCCACCTCCACATCACAGGCTTCGTATCGAGCCTGCTCTTCTTCAGCTACAGCTTCCTGGCTTGTGCGGTGTACGGCTTGCTGACAGGAACCGTTGGATTCCTGACGGCATATACCTTCATCCGGCGTATCTACGGGTATGATGACCCCTTCGAGTATATTAGAATGGGCTAACTGCGATACAGTTCGATCAAGATCGATTGATTTGACATCATATAGTTTATAGTCAATCTGCAGGCGCTTCCTTGTAGAAATAAGCTTGTAACAAGTTGCCCTGCGCCCTTGATTTCTCTGAACTGAATCGATAAGTATATTTTGATTAGCGTTCAATTGCATGCAAAGTCCAATGTCAGCTCGTCTGGCATAACAAACACGGTACATACGTTTCTTTTCTTCATTGATCGTAGCGTCGTCTCAAGTCGGCGACTTGTTGGCTGTTTCCGTTGGTACTCGTCAACTATAACGAGGATTAGACGTACGTAGTTTCACATTTCATGAGAGCTAAATCGTGGTCCCCATCGGTCTTGCTGGTTAGCGATCCCTCAATTGAATCTGTTCATTTCGCAAGTGGTTGCGCCTCGGCATAGCCATTCAGTCATCGGACCGCTGCTGTGGCACAAACACCAATCTAATCCATATCCCTTGCGTTGAAGCCCAACATGACAAGTCCTATTCAGATGCAATCCAGGTTCCTCACTGAGTAGCCCTATGCCAAGACCTCAACGTTGTACAGCAAGCATTCCGCTCATCTTGGCAGAGTAAAAGTACTGCCCTCGACGCCAAGCTTAATGGCTGCCTAGAAGTAAAAGTAGTCTAGAGGTAATATATTGGAGAACAGGCTACAGTAATATGAAACACACTCAGAGATTGCATACATCAGTGATCACTATCACACACCGCTGGGGAAGGCGTACTGTGGATAGATAGTCCATGCAAACGGAACGGACTACGTCATCCGGAAGGCTCCTTGATTGCGTGCTCAGGTGAGAAGATTGCTCATATGGAGTCGCCATTGTCCAAGGCCAAGAGATGACGGGCACGTTCACTCCTGCAAGGAAAGTATTTGCTACACTACTTTAGAATTGGCTGCGCGTCTTGTTCTATGTCATACCCATACTCGCATACTGTGGTGGTTTTTTTTAACTCCGAAGAGAACTCGTAATATTGTCTCCGCAAAAAAGCAAGTTCATTCCGTAGATCTTCCAGAAACCTTGCATATCTGTGAAACGGGCGATCTTCAGGAGAAGTGTGGAGAGAGGCGTGTGATAGGAGGAGGGGACGATGATGCCATTGTTGCTCCGGATGGGGAATTTTGGCGGGACCCCCGGACTGGGATGGTACGTAAGGCTGCTAGGTGTACAGTCAGATTGACTTTCGCGATGGATGTGAGACAGAATTGGCTATAGGGATGTAAGCTTGCGCCTTTGGCCTGGATTGCCACTGTCTACCATATACTTTCTTCTATCTAGTTGCCTTGTCAGTTTCGATCATTTATGTCCCTTGGAGACCTTGGTAGAAGCGTATCAATCGTGTATCAGTGCAATACACTGGTAACAAAGCTATCAGCTGACCTCCAAATTGAGAAGTGCTGCTCGTGTGATAAGCATGTGGGTCTATCGGGATCCGGCAATCACTACATCACGCGACCAATAATATTTTGTTTCTTATTTAGCGTTGAAAGACAAATAGCCGCTATACTCATCTAGGTTAATTCCCTTGATAGGCGGCTCCTAGCTCAGAAGCCGGTTGCTCCAGAGTGTAGATAATCCACTCAAAATCAGACCCCTCGATTGGAGCTTTCGAAGGTGACTGTGAGAGTAAGAAATTGAGTTATAAACCAGGATAAGAGGTATGGAAGACGCAAGAATATCCCAACCATGAGGGAGAACTCTTGGAAACAA